CATGGGATGGGATGAAAAAACTATTGTATCAAGGTGACTTGGGATTGAGATATGTTATACAAATGAATTGGCCGTTGTAAGGCAAATGAATTTGATAGTTCATGAAAGAAAATGACACTGTGGAGGAGGGTTATAAAGGTGAAGTTTGGTATTGTGGATAGAGAATGATATTCCAGAGTATTGCTAAGACCGCATGGGAAAAGGGTGTGAAAAAAATATGCATGAGAAGGGATAAATTTCAGGAATATATCAGGTGGAGAGTCGATAATAGGAAGAGAAATAGCTTTGGAGATGGACTCTTGGCTTGGAGGAAGAATGCTCAGATAGGTTCTCGCAGATTTTTGTTATTTTACAGTATAAGAATATCTTAGTCCATGAGTCATTCAGAGTCATTGGAGGAGAAAGGAAATGACATGTGGAGGTGATGAGAAACCTTAATGACTGAGAAATAAATGAGTATGAGACTTACCTAAGTTCCTTAACTTCTGCATCTCTGATGGGAGTAATGACCAATCACTATGGAGCCTCAATTCAGAAGGGACATTTATGGTTGGTCTTTCTATAAACACTTAGATAAAAATAATTCTATAGTGTCCAGTTTTTCTTTTCGGCAATCTAGAAGGTGAATCCTCATCTCAGAGTTGTTTTCTTTGATTGGGAGAGCATGAATGCATTCTTTTTTGAAATAAAAGAAGTTTTATTAAAAGATCGGTACCAAGGAGTTACCACTCAATTATGCAGCATTACATCTCTGTCAAATGATCTAACACAATTCTAAATTCATCTATATGAGAAATATCATGACTCAACAATAGAGAACCAAAAGAACGTATCTATCTATCCATAATATGATTAAAATCTTTTTCAATTCTATCGAAAGCTCTTGAATTTCTCTATTTCCGTACTACCCATAAGACCAACAATGGAATCAGCATAAATTTGTTTTTCTTTTTGCATAAACCTGTCCATGCCCATATTTCAGCTTTCACGGAGTCAGTTATTACCCAGTTTATTCCCAAAAGTCCATAGATCATTGCCCATAATTTGTAAGCCAACAGAC